TATTTACACACCTAAAAATCTATTTAATGGCAAGCTACAGTTTATGGTCTCTTTCACTTTCAGCATCAAAAGATAATGCAGAAATGAGAAATTATTACAGAAACCAGTGTTAAAATCTCATATAAATCCAAATCTCAAGAACACCCAAACCACTCATATTTTGAGTAAATTGTACCACATATAAATTAATACAAACTTCATCTATACTTGATAAAAGTATGACATTTAGAAAAATATAAAATGTCAACAGAGACATCTTTCACAAAGGCTATGTTTATAACAATACAAGATAAATGGATTTGGAGAAAATAACTGAATCTCTGGGGTTGAAAAGACTTTAAAGGTCACCTAGTTGACTCACTCCATTTTTCTGCATCCTGTAATATCTCTAGAATTCAACCACTTCCTGTTTGAGTGCAGGTGAATGTTCAGTACTGCCCAGGCTTCATAGAGTGTTCCCTCCCAAAGGTCAACACCAGGATTCACTCACTGATGAAAGCAAGATATGGGGCCAAGATCTGACAGCATCCTTTTGTACCTCATCTTTTTGTTCCTTATTTGAAACAAACAAAGCTTCTCCTTTTTGCCTGGCCAGCATTTTCTTTCCAACCCTTAGAAAACCAGCCAAATAGCTCAGCGGATTAAAGTGCCTGCAAGCAGGCTCCGGGGCTAGGGCTTGAGCCCTAGGCCTGCCGTGCTGGCCACGCCCCCAGAAAGGCAATTGAGACTGGGCGTGGTAATCCCAGCTTTTGGGAGGCTGTAAACAAGTGGATCACTACAAGTCCAATCTAGTAGTGAGACTTTGAACATCCTGTAGACCCCTCCCTAAAATACAGTAGAGAGAGAGAGAGAGAGAGAAAGAGAGAGAGAGAGAGAGAAAGAAAGAAAATAAATAAATAAATAAATAAATCTGGGTGGGCGCTGCACAAGCCCCACTACATGATTTGAGAGCCAGGAAGAGATCTGTTATCCACTGAGAGCAAAGTCAGGGGCAGGTTTAAGGGTCAGAGGTGCAGTGTGGGGCTCTGATGGGACTGGGTCCGTGTCCTGATATTGGAACCAGAAAAAGACATGTAATTTAAAAAAAAAAATCCCCTTTCAAAACTGTGACTTCAGTAGTTTTCCTTTGCAACATTCATCTGAATACCACAACATAATTTTAGAAGTGACGCTGTCTTGATAGAGTTTTCTCTGGATAAAGAAAGCATCTTCTAAAAGATTTCATCTTAGAAACCTAAAATGATATATCTTGGATGTTATTTTATTTCTTTTAAAAATTACTGATTTAGTATTATTAGTCTTCATCATGGAGACAATTATATGTTTTCACTTCAATTATGACTTCTAAATGTCCACAAAATAAAAAGATTTGGGTGAAAAAAAGAAAAATGATTGCAGAAGGGCACAGCATAGAAACCGCCATCGTAGCCATTTCTCTATGCTTAATTCGGTAGAATGAGCGATCTCCACAGTTACGCTACCAATCCCGAGAACTCTTCTCTTCTGCAAACCTGAAACTTGGTGCCCACTGAACAAAAAGGTCCCACTTCCCCCACCCAGTCCCTGACACTCGTCATTCTAACCCGTGTCTGAGGATTCGACTCCTCCGATTCCTCATAGAAGTGCAATCACACAGCATTTGGCTTCTGGGGGCTGGTCTGTTTCACTCAGCACAGTGCCTTCGAGGTTCATCCGTGTGCTGGTGCACATCATGATCCCTGTATTTCAGGACTAACAGCCCCGTGTAGACCCGGACCACATTTCCTCACCTGGCGGCTTGCACCTCAGCTTCTGTGAACAATAAACACCTCATGCAAATATCTCTGAAATGCTGTATGTTGCCTGCTCTCCTAACTCAGGTTTCCTGGACAAGAACCCTTCCATTGTCCACTGACAACTGGGCAACCTTGCCCTGGCTCAGTCTGCGTGGGAAACAAGGCTTTCCGCTTGGATCTGTACACAGTTATCCAAAAATGAGCACAAGCCATGATACTGCACTCAGTGCTTTGGGAATGCTGATCCTCCCAGTCATTGTTTCTCATTTTTGCTTGGAGGCCTCAGTCACGAAAGCCTGCCAGGGACTTGAGCATGGTGTATGTTTTAAAAGAGCATTCTTTTTCCTCTCTTCATTGGAGAAAGGAGCATGCGTTGTAGGTGAATGAAAGAATTACTTGAGTGTTCTTGCTATGACCATGTGCTAATATAAGTTTATGTATAAATCCATAAACATAATTTATAGAATTAGACAATGCCCCCTGCCATCCTAAGATGATTATCTCCTGCAATTGGTGAAATAAATAGATGAAGGAGAAAATAAATTTCCTAGGAAAGTCTCCTGAAACACAGCATTCCTAGCGGAGAGCCCCGAAATTCAAAGCCCACAAGCCTAGAAAGAGACCTTCCTGAGCCCTGAGGAAAATCAGTGATCAATCACAGAATTTATTATTCTAAGAAAACCTGTGTGAGCACCAAAAGCAAAAGACCAAGCAGAGCATAGTGTAAGCGGGGAACTTTCCTGTGTTTATCCAGCATCAAGTAGAAAGAAACAACACTGGCCAGGACAGACATGCTGATCTCCACAGAGCCCTCTGGAATTAAGAAATCTGGAAGACAAGGGGGCCTTCTCTTTATTTTCCATAGCCTAGAATAAAATAACCTTTAAGATTATCTGTTTCGCTCTGTGCCAAGTAAACAGCAGGATATTAAGAAAAAACCCATATGGATTGCGAATCCTGGAAGTCGATGTTCTCCATTACAGTTAGTACAGTAATTTGACCCTGTGGTTCATATATGGCTGTCTTCTAACTTGGTTTAAGGTTTCGGTCTTTGCAAAGTTGACACACTCCAACTCCAGCCACCCCGCACCAGCAAAGAGAAGTTAAGACACT